ATCTTCTTAATATTTAGAACTGTTAAGTTGGACAAAAGACACTTCAAATTTCGGTGAGTGAGTAATACCTATGTTATTTTTAGAGCTGTTTTAGAATTTTTCTTTTTCGGGTTTTATGGTAATTGTGGCAGGAACAATTTTTTAGAATTATTGTAAATGTATTTTTTTTTAAATCATTTTAATACCTTAACGAATTTTCTTAAGAACATTGTTTGTATTTTAGAGCCCTGAGGATGGTGTAAAATAACACCGAAACGTTGGCAATGATTTAAAATATAGTGTTCTTTTATTTATTGATCTTTATCCCACTAAAACCTTGACTTGGATAACTAACTAAGCAAGATCGCTAAACAGTGGAAACGTAATTGTCAATAATAGTTAACACAAATATATCATATTTTTGTTATGACTTGTAAAATATAGTAATACGGTTAAAAATAACAATAAAATACGTATACAGATTTCATTCTCAAAATGAATCTATAATTTGAGAGACACTTAAATATATCTAGCTTAAAATATTAATCTCTTTGCAAATATATAGTTGATGGTATAAAATTTTTAAATATTATTTTAGTTGAATAAGTCAACTCTTTACAGTTTACACTAAGATAATAGATTCTCAAAGAGATCAAACGGAATGAAGAACTATTACAAATATGCTGATGACAATAGATTAAGTACGGATAAGCTCCTCACACACGCATTTACAATAAAAGAAGAATGGAGAAGAAATGGGAAAAGAAACCACAAAAAATTTAATTGTATTTTTTATACAAACATATTTCAGAAAATTGATAATAAAAGAGATATATTCTATCAAATTGAAATGGATTTTTAACGATACAATAAGAGTCCTTCGACATATCTTTTCAATGTTTTAAATCGAGGACTAGGACGTCTGGACTAATTTAAGGAATATTATTTAAATCTCACATGTGTAACGAATAGTTTAGACTCGGAACTATTCTCAATTGTTTTATTTTTTCCCATTATAACAACATGTGGGATTTGAATAGTATTGTCTAAAGTAGTGTTCAGATGAACTAAGTTTGGGTACATCTTGAATATTATTTTTTCTTTCAATTGGCAATATACTAAAAACTAAAAATCTTTCTTTTATTATAATAATAGGTGCGATAATATACATTTTTATTTCAATTAGTTATTTTTAATAAAAGAATATCCACATTTTATCTTTGAAATGGACGTCTATTTTGCAGCCAAACAAATGAAATTATTTTAAAACCTTGCTGTGACAACAAAATAAAATTCCCGAAAATTTTCTCTTTCTCCACGAAAGTACATTGCAATTTTCTGACATGGAAAATTATATTGTCTGATTTAAATGGCTTTTTATTGCAAAACTCAATAAACTGTTTCTATACACTTTCATTAGATTTTTTGTTCTTGATTATTATATTATATTATATTATTACTATTATTATATATACAGGGTGTTCGCAAATTTCCCCGACAATGTTTGACTGCATATTCACGACGATGAATAAATACCATCTACGAAAAAAAAGTTAGATAAAAAATTTTTGGTTTTTGATTTACAAGCCTTCAAAGTTGTCAAAAATAAAACTAGTTTAATTAATAACTTCATAACCCTTTTAACGATCGCGTTAAAATTTGGCACATTTATTTGGACTATTATGGCGTATGACTTCTTAAAGCTTTAGTCAAATCGAAATACTGGGTGATAGTTTTCTCCAGTTACCTCTCGCTTTTGGCGGTCACAACTTTTACAGTGGTTGTATTTTTTTAAAACGGGCAGCAACATGGAAAAGGTCATTTTATTTAAAAAAAATTGCATGATTGTGTGGAGTAATGAGAATCCTAAATAAACACGACAATAATGACATTACCTGATAGCCACAGCAATCAACATCTTGTTTTCATCACCTACTGATCTCAAAGTTTTAAATCCGTGACACTGCTATGCAATCCGAAACTCACAGACCTGCAAATATGCTATTTTTCTCAAGAATGGCTTTCTGTAGGCGATTTTCTCAAGGGACAATATTTATTTAAAATAAAACATTTTCAATGTAGCTGCCTCTTTTAAAAAAATACGACCTCTAAAAGTTTTGACCGCTAAAAGGGAGACGTAACTGGAGAAAACTATCACCTAGTATATAGATTTGACTAAAGCTTTAAGAAATAATAAGCCACAATAGTCCAACTAAATGTGCCAAATTTTAACGCCATCGGTAAAAGGGTTAGGAAGTTATTAATTAAATTAGTTTTATTTTTAACAATTTTGAAGGCCTGTAACTCAAAAACTAAAAAGTTTTTATTTAACTTTTTTTCGTAAATCGTATTTATTTATTGTCGTGAATATGCAGTCAAATGTTGTTGGTGAAATTTGCGGACACCTTGTATATTATTACTATTATTATATATATTATTGTGTTACATATTACCTGCGAACATATTCATATTTACATTAGCAGACTATTCGGTTTTATTATGAACCATGCTTCCCTTAACTCTAATAATGAAATATGCTAAAATATTATGTTGCAAATAATCTATCCTATTAAAAAAATAGCAGGTTTATATAAAGATGGGTATAAATTAACTGAACCGAACATCCAGTGGAATACTGCTTTAAATTATTGAGATTTTTGCATTTACATGACATCAAAGTAAATTCAATGTTCTTGTTACCTAATTTATTGGATACCTATTTTTCAAGATGGAGATCTCGGTTGTCTTAAGAGGGTAGGATAAGGTCAGTCAAATTAGTGTAAAATTTCAAAATTTGATGACTAATAATGTGCTGAAATAAATTTGTATTATCTTTTTTCACTCTCAATTTATTGTATGGCTGGAGTGCCTATCAAAACAGAGAAAGGACATTCAACTTTTGATCGTATTTCTGATTGTGATTGTCATTTGCTTTTTTTTTGGTATCAAAATATCAAATTTAACAAACTACTTCGAAAATACAAATTTCAAAATCAAACAGTGTTTAGAGAACTAAAAAGCATTGCATTTTAACATCTCCAAAAACACTTTTTGTAAGTCGATAATTTAGTATTTCAATAAAATGTAAACGTAATGTCATCATAAGTAGAAAATTAAGCTGAACTGAAGAAATATTAAAATTTTTTAAGTTTTTCATCGATATCAAAATGAAAAGAGGAATGAGTCAAATTTATCTTCGTCATGTTATGTTGTCAAAATTGACTGATCTTGCATCTGTTAAGACAACAGAGATCTTCACTGAATAGCTCGAAAAATTGGGATCTGATGCATGAATTTGCAGAGACTTATTTAAGAAGTGGATAAAAATACGTAATATACAGGGTGTTTGGAAAAGTTGGTACAAAATTAAGGAGGTGAAAGTAGAGCCAAAGTAGTAGTAAAGTAGTAAAAAAAGCACTGTTACTGAGATATGGCCCTCCAAAAGTGCTATCATTTGGATATTTTTTTAAATAACTTTTTCTCTGATTAAAATAATGGAATGAAAATTGTACGTAATAATCATACCATAAGGGTCTTTAACTATCATAAGTTTCATCAAAATCGGTTATAAAAAATAAGGATAGTTTTCTAACTACCCTTATCAGAAATTTTTTGAATTTTTTTTATTCCCCTGAATTATGAAGCAAATATTATTTTTTTAATGAAATAGACTTTTTTTGAAGAAAAAATGTCCCTACTTTTTTTTTTAATTCTGCGTAGTTTAGTCAGAAATAATTATTTTTTAAATAATGTAGGTATGGCTCAAAACTAACTTTTTTTAAACATTTTACATAGTAAGGCACCTTTAATGGTGAGTTTCGTTGTAATGATACTAATGATTGTCACTTTCGCGTTCATTTAAATTCTTACGGTTCTTAGTTGTGATCTTTGTGCTTGACTTTGCACTTCATTCGGTTTATTTTCAACCATGAACCATCATGCTTTTACTAACCGTGAATATGCTGATATGCATTTGATTTATGGTTTCTGTAATGGTAATAGTCTGGCGGCTCAAAAAGAGTAGGCAACGTTTCCCTGATAGAAGACAACCTTCTGCAAAATTGTTTGGAAAAATTAATGCAAGAACGATGGAATCAGGAGCCCTAACTCCAAGGTATCGTGAATTTGGCCGTCCAAGGAGGCGTAGGCATGATTTAGACGAAGTAATTTTAGGATTTTTTAACGTAATCCTACTGCGAGTGTAAGAAGAGCGTCTGCTCATGATGATTCATGGTTGTAAAAAAATCGAGTGAAATGCAAAGTCAAACGCAAAGATCACAACTAAGAAGATAAAGAAACATAAGAACTTAAATGATAGCACACGAAAGTGACAATTATTAGTATCATTACAACGAAACTGTCACCATGAAAGATGCCTACTATGTGAAAATGTTAAAAAAAGTTACTGTTCTAGCCATGCATTATTTAAAAAATTTTTTTTTCTGACTAAACCACGCAGAATTCGAAAAAAAAAGTAGGGACATTTTTTCTTCAAAAAAGTCTAATTCATTAAAAATAATATTATTTGTTTGATAGTATAAAGGAATAAAAAAAATTTGAAAAATTTCTCTTAAGGGTAGTTAGAAAACTATCCTTATTTATAACCGATTTTGATGAAAATTATGATAGTTAAAGACCCTTATGGTATGATTATTACCTACAATTTTCCTTCCATTATCTTAATCAGAAAGTTATTTTAAAAAATGATAAGACTCCTTTGGAGGGCCATATCTCAGTAACGGTGCTCTGGAGGACCAATGTTTATAGCAACTTCTTTTACTATTTTTGGCTCTACTTTCACCTCCTTAAATTTTGTATCAACTTTTCCAAACACTGTATTAAATGAATTGCATTCCCATTGAAATGAAATATGATAGTATTATGTACAACTTTTAATTAGTTAATTTTTCCAGTGCCTGTGCATCTGAGAGAAGTAATTCTTAAACTGCTAAGAAGAGTGAAAAGATCTGTAAAGAATGATAAATGGGAAAAAACTTTAGTTACTGTTTGTCACAACTTTAGTTCTCAAGATGCATGGGAGATTGAACGTTTTGGGTTCAAAAAAGCAAAGCTTTCCTCAAAAATAAGAGTCGTAAAGGTAAGTTCTATTCATACAAATATGAATTTAGAATATACAAGGTATGCCATTTAACATTCCCACTAAGTTTTCATTAGTACCTAAATAATAGATCGTGTTAAACTTTACTAGCCAATAGTGAAGGATAATAAAGACTTCCATTTAACATGAAAATATTTGTTTTATCTTCATATTTGGTAGATAGCGTTTTTGTGCATAGAAATCTTATAACCTCAAAAAAAGTTGGGTGTTCTTTATAGAAATTGAAATTTTTTCTTTATTCCCTTACACCATAAAATTAACCATTGTCAGATATAGGCAATTTTGTTTATTGTTTATTGAAGTATAGTGCTGTATAATTTTCTTTATATAAGTATTTTCAGAGATTTTAGGAAGGAGGAAACCGCAGAAGTAAATTAGTGTACAAGGTTATGTAATATTTGAGTAATAATACTTCAGTAATATTTGGGTATAAAAACAATTATTCACATTTCATGTAGAGCAAAACATTATGTTTCACTGGCTGATAATAATTTTGTTGTAATATTTCACAACTTTTTATTCAACATAGACGTAACAATTTGTCATTATTCATTGTAAACGAATCATTGATATTGACGATGCCAAGATTTAGGGATTCTTATTTGATAGTACCAGTCATGCAATATTGGTTGCCTAAGCTTGGCGGTCACGTTGCTTGTTTTCATTTATATCTGTACTATTTCTTTTAAAATAATAGATCTTGACACGTTACTTATGTAATTATTTTTCTAGGAACTTCTTGAGATGCAGTTTGACTATCATGTTAAGTTTAAGAATGATGTGAATAAATTAACTGCAGAAGAGTTAAGATCTCATCCTTTAGGTAGAGATAAAGCAGGTCATGCGTACTGGTTTCAGAGTGATGACAATTATCAAGTCAGAGTATACAAGGAAGATTTAGATGAGGAAACATGGACATTAATAGCCAGGTAAGTAGTATGTATAATAATTAACAATCAAGAAAGTAATGTGCTAGATGTATGTTGAATATTGTAAATATAAATATCATTTTTGTAGTGGTATGTAAAAAAAATAACATGCCTCGAAATTTTTATGTTTTTAAAACAAATATGTTTATTTCAAAAGAGATAGTGAATAACTGCAATTTTTGAAAAAAATATTTATAAATCATTTTAGTTATCAAATATTTTTTTAGGGACCGAGACAGCTTAGTTTCTTTAATAGATAAACTGACTGATGGTGATTCCAAGTCCAGTTCAGATTCAGCAGTAAATGAAGATAGTAATAGTTTATCTGATAAACCAGTTATTGACACTGGTCAGATTGATTTGGACACTAAACCCATCTCAGAAGAAGACAAAAAGAAAGTGAAAGATGGAGATGAAGCACCAGGGCCTAAAGAGGAAGATAGTAAGATAGAAGATAAGGAAGACTTGTCGGAGAAAGAATCTACAAATGAAGAAACATCCGTCAATGAAGAGGAGAAAAACTCAAAACCGTTATTGAGAATAAAAAATTTGAGTGAGTTAATAAGTGGGAGTTTAAAAAGGTCTAAACCTGATTGTGATAGTGAAGAATCCCAAGAAAAGGTTTTAAAAATTAAATTTAAAAAATTAAATGAAGAGCCTATAGTTGGCGAGGAGATAGAAGAACCCGTTATGAAAGTGCAAGGTGAAGGTTCTGGTGAAGAAAATGAAGGAATCCATATAAAAAAACAAAATTATGGAAATGACACAACAGAAAATAATTCTTTAGAAGGAAATCCAATAATAGGTGAGACAATTGAAGAAAGTGTACTTTATTTTTATGGTGAAGGCTACGGATTTGAATGTCTCACAGGAAACGAAGAAAAAGGAGCCTCAAATGAAACACATTCTAATTCGGAAGTTAGTGCTGATGATAAGTGTAAGCAAAATTCCTCTGTTACCAGCAGTATTAAAGATAATTTAAGTGACTTTAAGGACAATAACGTTAAAACAAAAGAAGTTCCTCTCATTAAATTAGGTACTATAATCGATACTAAGACTGATAATGTTAATAGATTACCTTCTGGGTCATCAAAGAAATCAAGATGGGATGTGGAGACCTTACAAGATACTCAATCTAATACAAAATTTGAAAGTTCCCAAGTAAAAACTGGGAAAGTTAAAGATTTAGTAAGCAAATTTGAACAGGTAGGTACTCCTACACAAGAAAATACTGCTGACAATGTAACGCCACCTTCTACGCCAAAAAAGCCAACATTTTTTTTTGGATCAGGTTCCTTCAAGTGTAATTCTGTATCACCATCTCTTACCGTTGGTTTTGGACAATATTCACCAGATAAGCATATTGACGGTGCTACAAGTAAAATTTGTGAAAAAACTGCTGATAAAGAGGACGATAAGTTAAAGGCAGACAGTAAAAGCGAACTTCCTTGTGAGTCCTTAAAAAAATCCGAAAGTGACAAGCAAAAGCAGTGCGAACATTCCATTAGTAAAAATGAATTTAATGAACAAAATAATCAAACATTGCGTAATGACGAAACAACAGAAAATGCCGATAAAAAACATGATACCAATAATCTAAATGAAGATGAAATAAGGTCCGATAATGATAAAAATGAAAAACCTGTGGAGGATTCTTGTAAGAAGGATATGACAGTGATTGAGAGAAAAATCTTGAAAAAATCTGAGGATATTTTAAAAATATCTGAAAAGCAGCAAGAGCAGAATCTTGAAATAGGAAATGGCCAAACGGAAAATCATACTATTGAAGCAGATAAAAGGCACGATGAGAATGAAGAAAAAGATCTTGATGAACGAGTTCCGGTGGTTGAACCTAAGTGTATTAAAAAAACAGCATATATTTGTGGTGACAACACAACTGACAATAGATCGGAAGATGGTAAAGAGGAAACCTCGTCGAATTCCGACCTTAAATTAATTTCAGCAGATAAAAAACAACCAGATTATATTGAGAAGCAGAATCACGACAGTGCTGAACAGAAAAGGCAAGCAGATAATTTAGTAGAAAAAAGTCAAGAGCAAATCGATAATAAAAATCAATCTGCTAATAAAACTGAGAATACTGAAAATTTAGAATCTACTAAATCAAACCAAAATATAATAGAAAAAAGAGTAATAAATAAGGAAGAAAAAACTGATGGAACCAGTACTGAAAAAGTCATTGAGGATATAGAGAAAAATAAAAATCTTTGCGATTCACATGATTCAACAAAAAATCCCCTTAAAATCGGCGATTGCAATAAGCAACAGCAAAAACCACAAATATCTCTTAGGTCTATTAGAAGCAAAAAAGTTATTGGTTCAAATAACGCCGACAAGGATCGAACAGTGCTTGTTTCCACGATTCACTCGAATCCGGTAGAAACCGAGACAGTATATTTTAATGCTCGAAGAGGTAGATCAAGGAAGCAAATTCAGGAAAGTCCCTCCGACATCGGTCCTAGTGCAGTAACAAATGAATTAAAAGAAACCGATCCAGTTAAAGAGGAGGAAAATACTATGAAAACAAAACTGACACTCACAAATAAAAATGAAACTGTAAAAGAAAAAGTAAATAGTAATGTGGCAAGTCCTGATTCGTCCCGAGTTAATTCGCCTGTATCTGTAAGTGACTCAATCATTCTTTTGCCCGATTCTTTAGAAAACACCGTAGATTGTCCTTTGAAAGATCCCTTGGCGAATTCCGATGAAGAAATACCTACCCCTCCTCCAAAACCAATGAATCTACAATCGTTATCTCTTGATTTTAATGAATCTGCGACACCCCCACCTATTCCGATAATCCCTTCTCGGAGAACGTTAAGGAAAAGAGGCAGAGAGGCCAGTCCTGATGTGGTAAAGGAGGTTACAGCTTCTGCGGGGAAAAAAATGAAACTTAAAGGAAAACGTCAGGTCGATACTAAATTGAGGAAAAGCATAGAACAGAAGAAACAGCAACAAGTCAGTAGCAGTGATGAGGTCCATGATGTTTCTGATGACGAAAAGCCAGCTGTAAAGTCTAGGAACAAGGGAAGGCAGGCCAAGAATAAAAAGAAAGAGAAGGTTATTGAAATCAGCGACGAAGATTCAGGCACCCCTGTGCCGAAACCGAAGAGGAAATACAATAAGAACAGTAAGTTATTTTTTTATACAGGGTGTAACCTTGAATGGGAGTCAACATATGTTTTTTAAAATTTCCTCGAATTTTTCTTATTCCTTTTTTCAAAAATCGAACCCAATTGGGGTTTTCGTTTTACAGAATTAACTTTGGCTGTTGTTTTTTATCTGCCTAGACCTCTGTTGTCATATCACATCAGGTGGATTAATATTATGCAGTTCACCTAAACTAAGTCAATATTAGAGGTCATTGACCCTGAAGTTCTTAAACTAAACACATTAAAAATATGCACCATTACGAGTGTTGCCTTTGATATTTCGGATATAGAGAAAAAAGAAATTAATTATCGTATATGGCTGTATTGTTTGTTCTTGTTGCTTCTTCAGACATTGAAAAACGTTGACTTTGTAATTTATTTTTGATGTGTGGGAATAGAAAAAAGTCATTGGATGCCAAATCAAGGCTGTATGGCGGATGACTTATCAATTCCTCTTTTTTTATTTTAACCGATGTTTGAGAGCTTGCATTGTCCTGGTGGAGAACGATGCGTCTTAGGCTGTTGGTTTCTCTAATTTTTCCAAAGCTGTCGGCAAACAAGTGGTTGTGTACCATTTAGAATTAACTGTCCGATGTTGCACTAATGGTACAGTTACCACATTCCGTTTTTTTTTCGAAAAGACAGGCAACCATCTTGCAAGACTCGTACAGTCGACTGCTGTTTACTTTCGAGATCATACACATAGATCCATGATTCATCATTTGTTATGATGTCGCAGAAGTGTGTTGAAGCACCGCAATAGTATTTCTTAAGCATTTCTTTTGACCACTTAACACGAGCTCTTTTTCCAATCCAATGTGAATCAATTTTTTTGGTGCCCAAATGTTGCAATATTGAATGTATGCTGGTCCCACTAATGCCCAAGAGTGCCTCAATCTCAAGATAAGTCACATGATCTTGCAATATCAGTTCCACACAGCATCAATGTTTTCTGGAACAACCGATTTTGGACGACTTTCATGAAATGAAATGGCCACGATTGAATTTTGTATACCATCGATGTACAGTGTTTGTTGATGGTCCTTCATTGCCAAAAGTCGAATTAAATTCACTATTGTTGAGATAATCCACGTCAAAAGTTGTAAACAATAATCACATGGAAATGTTCAGGACGTAATTCCATTTTTTCGTTTTTGTCCAACGTCAAAACATTCTGAGTAATTATACCGACAAAAAGTCGAACTTTACAATCAGGACATCAGTTGTCAGATGGCAGCACCAGGATTGTCAATTCCCGAAATATAAAAGGCAACCCTCGTATTAGTTAATATTAATAAAGTATGTAGAAAATATTAATTCCATCCTCATTGACATAAAAAAAATATAACTGAAACAACATGTCACAAAGTCATACAGAAGCAATCTGTTGTTATAAGTTTTAAACAGTTTCAATTTAACGTTTTACTACCCAGAGGCACAGTAAATTGGCTGTTGGCAAGTATGCGCTTGCAGGCTGGTCTTTTATTACAAGATCATACAGTGTCTACAAAATATAATATTACAGAAAAAAAAAGAAAAAAATATAGTGCTCTAATATTAACTTAAAAAAAAAATCTGTAAAGCAGCACCCAGATTTAGAGACCACGTAAAATAGTCCTACATAGTGAAAAAATCTTTGAATGGGACACAGCACAACTGGCAAATGTTTAGAAAAACATATAGACCCGTTAAAATGCATTGAGCAGTCTGTTCCAATTTGAAAATTGTGAGTTAATGTGCTTAGGCACAGGTATTTTTAGCATTTACTCAAATAAAATCATTGAAATGATGACTAATGTTATTACTTTCTTTATTCGATTAAATAATCGAATGATTGTCATATCATTTAAGTAAAAGTGTTTTCAGTTTTATTTGAAACTTCTACTTTACTTCAGTTTTTTAACTTTTACTTGAAAATCAGGCTTTTTTTGAAAAACAAGAGAGTAGTAATTTGTAGAAAATAGAAAGACGAATCCGAAAATATCATGGTTGTTACTATTTTATATTTAGAAATATATGCCCCTGATACCCTGTATCAGTAATGTTTACATAAATACATGTGCCCAATTTCAAATTATTTCACTTACTAATTTAAAGCAATTAAAAATATTTTTTGAAGTTTAACACACTGTATTTTTTTAACGAAGCGTCCTAGATAAAAACTTTATAGGGAAGACCCCTTAAAATTAACCAAAGAATAGGTTTCATTTTCGGTCACCATTAATGAAACACCTGCATATTTGATTTTTAATAAATATATTTTAGAATGATATTCTGAGCATCAAGTACAGTTTCCCCTAAAAAAACTGATCTCTAATTGCATCCGATATGTTCAATTTAAAAAACTGGAAATTTTTTTGTAAAGTATGACAAATTTTGTATGAATATAAAATTATTATTTCAGGTAGATTATTAGCGAATTTGGGCATAACTGAAGGCAAACCATTTGAATCTGTAGGTGTTCGGCAGTCCAGAAGGCTTGCCCAAATAAAAATAAAGGAGCAAGCCGAAGGTAAAAAGACAGATTCACATCACGTCAAAGAGGGGAAAAGCAAAAAGAAAAAGGTTGAGGATAAGGTAAGATGATTTTTTTTGCCATAAAAATAGCGAGTTAATAATTTTCTGCTATGCAGGAATACAAAGGTGAAAAAGAGAAGAAAAAAAAGGTCAAAGAACAAAAAAGTAAAAGGGAAGAGACTCCGGAATCCGAACCGGAGGATATAAAGAGGAAGAAAAAGAAAAGGTATAAGTACAAGTCTCCTAGCAAAATTTTTGACGAAAAGAAACCGTGGAGGTCTAGTAGCGAATCTAGTGAATTAGAGGATGAAGTAGAAGAAGAAGAAGAGGAAGAAGTTATTGAGGAAGAAGAACCTCCATTGGAGTTCAAATCGGATCATGAGTTTTCACCAGAAAGCGATTTGGGGGAGGATGGAGAGTCTCAACCCTTGAGAAGAGCTAGGACAGCAAGAAAAAATTATGAAGGTATATAACTTCCATTGTGCTCTATTAATTAAATTTGTGTTCAGTTAAAATTATCTATAGTTTTATAAAAATTAGATTAACAAAATTATATTTCTGCCATTTCTTTATTCTTCCAAAAAATACGATTTATCAAAAATACGTTTCTGTCTCGAACTCACCCGACTTGTCCCCCTGCGACTTTTTTCTGTTCCCTAACATGAAAACATTCGGGGGAAAAAATTTTTCCCCCGAACCGTGTTTTCATGTTAGGGAACAGAAAAAAGTCGCAGGGAGCCAAGTCGGGTAACTATAGTGGGTGCAGCAACAATTTGTAGTGCAGTTTATGCAGTTGAATGTTAATGAATGTGCGTGGTAGTGAAACACTTTTTTCTTAACCAATTGGGGCTGTCTCCTTCAATTTCTTATTGAATCGGTCCATTAATTCATTATGGTACTGCCCCGTGATTGTTTTTCCTTTCTGCAAAAAATTCATGAGGATTATTCCCAACAAATTGTTGCCATTGTTTTGACCATCGCTTGGTTTTTAGCGTATAATAATGTATCCAGATTTCATCAGTAGTGACGACTCAATGCAAAAACTCCTGCGAATTTCGCTTAAAGAGGTCAAGACACTGTTTCAACATTGATAGCCATATAGGCTTGTTGTCCATCATGAGCAATCACTGTACCCATTGGTCCGACATCTTTCTCACACTTAACTTGTAATGTAAAATATTTATTGTTTCGTGCGACACACCTACGGCATCTGCCACTCGTAAAAAACAGATGTACAACTACGTTTAAATTTGCCGAACCAATATATCACGGTTGTCATAGATGGTGAAGAGTCCTTATAGTTCGCATTCAACTTCGCTTTTATTTCTTCGCATATTTTTCCATCTAAAAATAAAAAGCGAATTACGAATCGATATTGCTCTTTTTCCATTTTATCGAGAAACTAACCTATGAATCAATCTGAAATTTAGTATTGTGTCGTGTGACAGATGGAGATATACGACGGTAATGTCAACTTCCCTCAGCAATGCCACCTGTCTTCAAACGTGGGTACTTATTGATCGACTCGTATAGGAAATGATTCAAGAATGATTCAAACATTCTGTGATTCAAGCAGAACATGTTTTTTTTTTTCATTCAGAATTTACTGTCAATCTAGAAGTCGTTTATTATTTTACTAATATCTGCATTTTTACTAACCAAAGAGGAAATAAATATAAAAAAATAGGTTTAAAAAAAGTTCTGCATTTGAAATGACATCATGTGAACTATGTTATTGTAAAATGCCTGAAAATTTATTTTTGGCCAATTCACGGAGCACCAACCAAAATAAACAAGAACAAACAATCATAAAAGAAGATGCAATTTGAAAAACTGGAATATTTTAATTACTCATCGAAATCAATGAAACATTCTTGTAAAACTTGTGAAAATGCCAAATATTGTTAAATTTTCTCGGAAAATCTCTTTACTGTTAGATATTTTTTTAATACTTGCAGAAGTGATATTTTAAAAACGTAATTACTCTTTATATTTAAGGAAAATTTAAATTGCTTTTACAACACTTACATCATACTTTGTATAGAAAAAAATTAAATATCTTTAAAATGGTTTTCGTAAATCAATAAAACTTGTAGTAATGACGACTAATTATGGATAAAAGTTGATGCATAAATTTGTCAACCAGAATTTCGATGCTTCTGAATATATTAGAAATTAGTTAAGTACATTTAATTCTAGTTGGTTTTTCTAAAAAACAACTTTTTTTTAATGTGCAACTTTTTAAGTAATTTTTTTTTTAATTTGAAATAAGCATTCAACATAGCTGAGCAAATAAATAATCACTTCAAAAGCATTAATTTAAAAAAAAAGATAGGAATGTTTTTTATAAATTAAAATTTAAAGATAATGTAACTGAAAAAAATTGTTAGCATAGAAACTTAATATTTTCTTAGAGAACAATATTTTAAAAACATGTTTTAAATTAACTTTTTTCTTATTTTAATGTTTTTTTTATCACCAAATAAAGTTTGATTCATGCAGTTCAGGACTTTTCTTATGCCATGGTTCAATCAGTCAACTGACATTAGAAAAAATTTTGAAAAAAAACATTTTCATCAATAACTCCATAGTTTTGTAAAATACTGAATTGAAATTTGTCATGTTCTGGTATTTCAGTGGTATATTTTTTATATAATTTTATTTAAAAAAAAATTAAGGCGTGAACATATGAAAATGAGGTGGAGCTGTCTAACTTTTTCCAATACACACCTGTTATTCATGGGGTTGTTTTTTTATACCATGTACTCATTTCTTTAATTGTTTTCACTCTTGTAAAATTTGGATTTAGAGCCAGGTTTTTGAAATACTGCAGCTTTTTTAGAATATGTGTTCAGAATGTTGTTTACATCACCCTGTTTACAATTGTACATGTACATTTGAAAAATCAGATTTGGAAATCAGATTCAGAAACATCTACGGTTATCATTGACTTTGCGAACCTCTATCTGATAGTAGGATTTCTTTCAGAATGTGACGAAGAAGAAGATGTAGGAGATGATTGTCCATGCCAAAAATGTGGAAAATCTGACCACCCTGAATGGGTGCTACTTTGTGATAAATGTGATAATGGTTGGCATTGTTCTTGTCTACGCCCACCTCTTTTAGTTATTCCAGAAGGTGATTGGTTTTGCCCACCTTGCCAACATGTAAGTTAATTACTTTTTTTGTATTTAAGATATTGAATATTTAATAATCAATATGAATGGGTATTTTTTAAAACTTTATTATTAACATATACAAAACATTATTTGGGCATTTTTCACCAAAGCGTGCATTTTAGAAAATTTATTCCCAATTTTTTTTTGTAACATTTTATCTTGTACATACGATGTTGCTAGCTATCAATGTATGAGCTAACATTTCTTAAAATTGGCCCTCAAGAATCTTTCGGGAAATAAGGAAGAATGTTGGCAGAAAGATAAAAATTATGATTTTTTGTCATTACCTTCCCTTGCCTTCTTCTCTAAAAATCATATTTTATTCAATTTATATTTTAACTTTTAATGATAATAAATATTTTTATGGCTGTATTGTGTAATATTAAAAACATATAAGTTGTTTTGCAGTTTTTTAGTCTAGAAATTACTTAAAAAAATGCTAAAAAATCCCATTTATTTTAAAAATTATTGCTAATAATTTAGTTTGAAACTGTCGTGTGATGCTAGAATATTAAATAAGATTTTAATCAAGTGTTAATAATCATGAAATTTTAGAAAAAACATAAAACATCAATATTTCATTAATTGATAATGAACTTTCAGCAGAATTATGATGGGTGAACGTAATGACAAAGGTAGAATGTAATGACGAAATCTTGTTTATTTTTTTATTTATTTATAATTATTGTAACAAACTTATTATAAGTACACAAACATAGTATTTCCCTGGTAAATAAGTCTTTTAACTTAAAAATACTTAAAAAATTATAAAAACAAAAAGGAACTTATAATTGGTATATAATAACTTAACAGACGTTATTTTTATATAACATTCTTCTAAAAACAAAACAAAAAGGACATTCTTGTATATAGGAACATTTTTTATGTCATTGACCTATAAAGCTCGTCTACTTTTGATTTATTTAAAACGTCAAAATTTCGGCTTGAAACTGATTGAGGAGGTTCACTAAATTTACACAAAATTTCGTTTTCCCTTACTGACTGCAAATCTGGCTTTTGGGGCCATGAGAACTGTTGTCCACAGCGACTCATAAAAGATATTTTTAAAATTCCATTTTCTTTTCAACGACACCCGGATACCAGTTGTCATAATAAACTACGGCAACCCAATGGCCGATTTGGATTTCATTTGAGTTTTCTGTATTTTCGTTACATGGTTCTTTTTCCTGACTGCCAACTTCTATATCTGAAACGTATTCTATGTCTTTCATCAAATAATGTGTACAATTTTCGCGACATAAACAGCTCAAATATTTAAATTGCATTTTTGATGGTAATGCAGAATCCCAAATTGCCATATGAATATCAAATGTTTTGTTAATGGGTTTAAGGGCTGAAATAATTATCTCCTGTTCAAAGCTGGATATGTCTTTAATCAAAAAAAGGTTGGTTTTTGCGTCCGGATTTTTGTCTTCTAAAGCAGTGATAAAATCTTTTGCAGACATAATGTTTTTTCCAAATGCAACAGCTGCGTCTGCATTGGTTTTTAACCTTCCACCTATGCCATCTGCCGCACTTTTGCCATGACCTGCTTCTGTGAATGACCAAGTTACTCTTTTTAAATTATAGTGGTCCCCAAAGTACGATACTAAGAAGAAATTTAGTTTGTTTCTATACTGTGACGTCGGGTCGTCACTTAAAAAGTGAATTGTGTCTAATTCTGGAACAAGGTTTTTCGCCATGAGGATCACTGGTCTCAGATGCGACCAAATGGCAAAAGGTCGGTGAGACAAATGATCGGATACTGACGCAAACGATTGATGTTTTAAACCATCAGGGCTTTTAAAGTACATTACGCCAGTGTGCAGACTTAATTGGGGTTTAGACCCGCCGAAGTGAACGCTTTGGACTTCTTCAATGTATTTACAACCATAATTTTCTGAGAAGTCTACATGGAGCACCACTTCATTTGAATCTAACTGATCTCTTAAGGTTCTTGCATGTCTAAGTTGGTGAAAAGCGTTATATTCGTGCTTGAGAAATTGAGGTACAAGAAGGTCATTAGCTTTTTGTACTAACTGTTCTAATGACAATAAATTTTTTGTAGTGTTGTTACTTTAACTTCAATATCTTTATTGTTTTTGTCCTTTCTGGTTTGTGTTGTATTTACCCATTGATTGTAAAATTGTAAGGTTTACACTGAGCTTCTTATTACTACAGCATTTGCACTCGCGATACATATAAGCTTTATCTTTTGAATTACAAACAATGGATTTAATGATTTCATGTGGAATTTTAGTTTCTACTAATCTTAGATGATGCATTTTCTTTATAATCATCTTCACATTTTCATGCTTTTTGCATAAGGTTGTATCCCTTGAACTTGCTCTGGGCTTTAATATGTAAGTAAAATGGTTTCCATCTCCAAAATGTGGTAAATGAGATGTTCAAATTGTTTTTTTCATTAAATTTTTTATGTAAAATTCTTAGAGGTTGTGTTACAAATCTTTTCTACTTCTTTACCTTCTTCTTTGTAACTGTATCTCTTTTATCCGGAGCCAAAATGGAATTCTCATCATTACAAAAAAAATCATGTACAAGTCGTTTCAGCTTGAGCATATTCTCTGTTCTTTTTTTCTTTTTCTCTATCTTCGAAACACTATTATACTTTTTTTTAATCGCTCGTCTGCTAATTAGACAACTACCTTCCTTCTGAACTCTGTATTTCTTAAAAATTGGGGATGCTATGGCAGAACGTAAAATTTTTTTTTCAGCTTCACCTGAATTTTTGACTTGATATTTAATTTGTCGAATTAAGCACTCAGAAAATAAAAGTTTTCTTTTCACTTCTTCAGTTGGCTTTCTTATAATTTCCTTGACTTTGGTATTTGGAGTAACGGATGATTCCATTTTCTTTCTTGCCTCTAGTCGTTGTGTTCTTTTTTATATCTTTCCGTCCTCCTTTCGGCATTGCGTAAAGAAACTCTTAAAGCAGATATTTCGTCCTTAAGTTTTTTATAATTGCGGCGACTTCTGTTATTTAAATTTCGATCAGCATGATTTGGTAAAATTATTGGCAGTAGAGTGGAGGGCGGTGTGTTTTCTATTAACTCGCGTATTGGTTTTAGTTTTCCTTCATCTCTGCGCTTTTTGTTTTGTTCCCTGATTTTTTGCTTGTATTCTTCGTGTCGTTCGGGATTTTCTTTAATTTTTTTACATTTGGCGCTTCTTTTTCTCTCCATTTGCGTCGCTGTTCTTCGGTACTGACAGGCTTTTTGTTTTTCTTTTTCTTCTTATTGTTATCTTTGTCTTGAAGTTCTTGTGTAGTAGGCATTCGGTTTGAAGAATTATCTGTCTCGGTGACACTTCCTGGTTGATTATATTGATATTCCTGTATGCCTGGGATATTTTCGTTCTCCTTTTTACGTTGTGATTTTCTTGATCCAGTTTTTTGCTTTACTTTATCATTGTCTTCAATATTGTCGCTTTCCTTCTTCTCTCGGGATTCATTTTGAATTTTACTTAATGCTGACCATTTTATTTTAATTGTACCTGTTTCTGGTTTTTGTTCTTTTTTTAGGTGATATTTTTCCCGCATCTTTTTCTTCTTTGGTTCATATTTTTGTTGTTTTGTTTGTTGTCTTTTATTTGCTGCATCTTTTTTTAGTACTTTCAGCTTTTGAATTAAAGCTTTTTTCTTTTCTTCGTCCATTTTAGCCACGATTTTACCTGTGAAAGACAATAACAGTCATTTTCATTCCCCCGTAAGTCATTACATTCTCCCTTTAGAATTCACTCTGGGTGAACGTAATGATGGGGAATGTAATGACAAACACGCCAGTTTTTCCCTCCGTAAAATTTTAAGGTTATGTTAAAGGCGCCGTTAACATCTTAGTGCTCCTTGGAATCGTATGCAAATATTTCATTGTTATTTTGAAAAGTGGCTATTTTAAAGTTGTTGTGCTAGGCCCAGAGAATGTAATTACCAAAAAATATGAAAAAAAACCGTTTTCTTACCTTTAATAATCTGCTAAATTAAATAAAACTACTGCAGCATAATGTTTTGAACACCATTTTGACTTAAACTATTTTTGGTTTGGAAAGCGTACCTCTAAATGACTATAGGCGACATCTACCAGCTGTGCGCGGAAGATAAAGTGGGGGAATGTAAATGACATATGAACTTAGGGACCTACCTTTGACCTCAAAATAAGACCTGACTAATCTGTAAACACCATATTATAAACTTTTATGCTAGAGGGCACTACTAACAGTATTTGAATTTGGTTATTTGCTGTTTAAAAAGCACACATTAACTGTTAGGCATACAGGAATATAAAGCAAATTGGAGCTAGGGACAGAGAGTGTAATGACATTTTAGTTATTCTTCCTGCAATATAATAGTGTTGTAGTGTTTTTTTGTTCAAATAAATGACGATTATGAAAAGAAAGAAAGGATGTCAAGTTAGTTATATTTTTGTTATAGCATCTGTGAGGTCTAGGCAGAAAAAATCTTTAAGGGGCTTAAAGTGCACGCTTTGGTGAAAAATGCCCACCTAGTAGCCATACAAATTATTGAAATATTTACCTGGAGTTTCCATAATGTCTTCTTCATTAGAANATTTTTGTTATAGCATCTGTGAGGTCTAGGCAGAAAAAATCTTTAAGGGACTTAAAGTGCACGCTTTGGTGAAAAATGCCCATTTATTCTAGTGCAATTATAGCTTTGTTCTCTGATACTGAAGAAATATTATTGTTACAATGGGGAAGTTGCACATTTTTTTTATTTTTCTCCTATTAAATTTCATTGCAAAAAGTCAATTGCCGCATAAATTTTAAATTTTAAATTTATAGTTTTCCTATAAAAGAATATAGAAATAATTCTCTACACACTAAAACACAGTCTGAAATAAAGATGGCTGATTCTTACATCACGATCTGGTATCGGTCCAAACCAAACAAGTTTCGGTCTCAGTAGTCTGTGTAGTTCTGTGTTCTGTAGTCTGTCTCACTCATTTGTGTTTATG